ATATATATATATGTATTGTATATGATCTTGTCGATGATAGTTTAAAAAATTTACTTTTTGAAAAATAATTGATATAAAAATGCGATTTACGATACATCTTTACTTTTTCTACAAATATCTACGTGTGTAAAGTTGGCACCTCATCTTTTGGCATCGCAAGTTTTGATAAGAGTTCCATTGGCACCCGCAATAGTTCTATAATTCCCTAGGTTTTTATAAATAGTTTCATTGATTTAGCTAAAAAAAATATTTGAAAATTTGCGGTGCTAACTTCCCGTGTCACCGCAAGATTCGAAAAAATCAATTAAAAACTATGAAATTTTATAGTTCTCGAAAGTTCTACAGTTCCTGATAGATTTTAACATAGTTCTGGTCTCTAAGTTATTTTAAATAATAATTAAACCCGCGCGCTGGCATCATACCACAAGAGTAAAGTAGCTTTTAATAACCAGTTCCAACCGACTTGTTGGCAATTTTCTATAGTTCTACAATAGTTCCGACGATTTTTATAGATTTCGCTTAAAGTTCTGCTCTTTAAGTACTTTTTAATAATAATTAAATCCGTGCATTGGCATCACAAGAGTAAAGAACCTTTTAAATAGCCAATTCCAACCGATTTGTTGGCATTTTCCTATAGTTCTACGATAATTCCGATTTTTATAGATTTCGCTCAGAGTTTTGCTCTTTAAGTCACATTTTGTCATCTGATCATTTTGATAATAATAGCCCAGTATAAATCTCATTCAAATATTCTTAAAGTGGACATTTCAAGCTTCATTTTGGATTTTTGAACATATTTTTATCTTCATTATTTACCAAGTTATGATCATTCAAAATTTGGTAAATTTTCCTGCTTTTTCGCTTTTTTTGTGATTGAATGTATATTAACTTGTTGCTCCATTAAAAATACTAGTTAATAAACATTTTATTCAATTTCATATATTTTAGAAATGTAACATAAGCATACTAAACATATGTAATATTATGACTTTTTCGATAATTCAATACGTTAATTTTCCCTTTTAATTTCAAACAATGTACAAATACATTTTAACAAATCGATATACGAAATCCGAAAAACGTATGCATTCATACGCCGAAATAATAAGTATGCAATTTTTATCATATTATTTTACGTATATTTTCTTTAAATTAGCAATAAATTTTTTACAAATTTAAAATGTTAGTATCATAAAGTTGACAAAAAAATTTATAAAATTATTATTTTTTCATTTTGATTGTGTTGCAAATATGAAAGTAACTGATGCTCTTAACATATTAAAAGAACTTGTACTGAAAAATTGTAAAAGAATACTTTCTCCAAGTTTGAGCGTAGTTACCGCTTCCCTTCCATACAATCAATTAATATCCTTATATTACAGAAGCGTTCAAACTAATGGAAAACGCTGAAAAATCAGTTGGAACTATTAAGGAGGTTGGTTAAGGCAAATGCAATATTTAGAATTATTTGAGAAAATTGCAGATTATTCTAAATTGCATTTAAAAGTAAAAAAAATTAGAGACAGGTGGTCATCTGGATTAAAAGATATTTCAATAAAAAGTATTTTTTAAATTTGTACTCTAATAGAAATATATGAAAATGTATTATAAAATAAAAGATAAAAATCTCAATTTTTTTAATATAAATATTTTATAAATACAAAAAAATTTATGCAAAGTTACATTAAAATGAAGACATTAATTGTTTAATAAATAAACAAAATATTTATTTGTTATAAACTAATTGATGAATCTTAATGAAACTTTGCATAAGTCATTTTTAGTACTTGAAATATTTAAAAAATTTAGATTTTTGTTGTTTTTAAAATTTCTGTTCACAACAATAAAACTAATAACAAATAATATAAATAATCTATAAAAATGTGTTGTAAAATGTTATCAACACAATTCACGTAATTTGTTAAAGTAATATATACCCTTACAACCTTCTTAAGAGGTACTTTACTCTTATGATGCGATGTCAGTCCGTAAATTTAATTATTATTAGAAAATTAATAATATTAGAAAATATTTAAAGACAAGAATTTCAATCGAAATCTATACAGATCATCGGTACTATTGTAGAACTTGGAAAATGCTAAAAAGTCAGTTGGAATTGACTGTTAAAAGGTACTTTACTCTTGGTGCGATGCTAGTGCGTGAGTTTAATTATTATTAAAAAGTTTAAAGAGCAGAACTCTGAGCGAAATCTATAAAAATCGAAACTATCGTAGAATTAGGAAATAAGTTGGCTGGAAATGGCAGTTAAAAGATACTTTACTCTTGTGATGCGGTGGATTTAATTATTATTTAAAATAATTTAGAGACCGAAACTATTGTTAAAACCTATCAGGAACTGTAGAACTCTTCGAGAACTATAAAATTTCATAGTTTTCAATTGATTTTTTCGAATCTTGCGGTGCCACGGAAAGTTAGCACCGCAAATTTTCAAATGTTATTTTTTTTAGCTAAATCAATGGAACTATTTATAAAATCTATCAGGAACTATAGAACTATTGCGGATGTCAATGGAACTCTTATCAAAACTTGCAATGCAAAAGATGAGGTACCAACTTCACATACATCAAATTTCCGCAAGATATACATAAAAAAATACTTCAGATAAAAATTGAAACTTATAAAATTTCCTAAATGTATTGTAAATTTATGATAAAAATTGACATATAAATGTTTGAAGGTAGTTCTTTTTTCCAATATAACATATTATAGTACTGTATATGTGATAACACAAACTATAGACATCAAAGTCTTAAACGGTCTAGCTGAATCTTAAATGCTTGTATAATTCTTGTGTGAATTTATATACTACATAGTCCCCAGAAACGCGCTGCTATTGCTTTGATTTGTATAGTTTGTGTTATCACGTATACGATCCTATGTTATAATACGTTATATTGTTTATTTACGTCGCCTAAAGAGACATTGTTCCTTCGTGTACTAATTATTGTGAAGAATATTACTAAGGCCTCGGTAGTCTAAAGGCTTAGGACGCTCGCACGGAATGCAAGAGATCTGGGTTCGATTCCCAACCGAGGTAATATTTTTCGCAATAAGAATTAATTATTTACAGATTTTAATATGTTATTCAACATTATTAAGATTGTTTCAAAAATGCGAATAAGCAAAATATTTGTTAAATTGCTAGTCAATTTAACTCGTGATTATTGTGATAGTTTAGTAAAATTAATGTTTTCAAGACCGAAAAATCATTTCGGCGCGCGTTTTTAAGGACTACGTAGTATATAAATTCACACAAGAATCATACAAGCATTTAAGCTAGACCATTTAAGGCTTTGATTTCTATAGTTTCTTTTTTCTAATTTGTGTCCTCATTTTCATGGTCGACAATAATTGCCAAAAAAGTTTATTTGTAAAATTTAAAGTTGATGTACGTTTCTGAGTTGTGCTAATAATATATGATATTTGATATTTAGACTATTTTTAGGATGAATTCGAGATATATTAGCATTCGAGATATACTATAGCAGGCTGATCACAAGCCGCAAAAAAATTCAATATAGGTAAGATTTCGGGGACTGTAAAGTGTTGATAAGCGTTACTCAAATAACAATTAACATTTTGTCCCCGAAATCTTACTCGCATTGAATTTTTTTGCATGGATGGCTTTGTGTTTTAGCTTTGGAGTTCAAATTGGACAGGTCTGTACTATAGGAAAGTATAATAGCCGTTGGGATATAATGACCGTGTATAATGCGTTTCGGGAATTTTCGGTGCAGCCGAAAATGTGCTCAGAGTAAATTTCATTGAATCTTCGGACAATGAACTCAGTTCACAATTTATAAAAATTAATGAGAAAAAAATTTCTCATCAATATTATTAATAATAAAATAAAATTTAATATTATTAATAATAAAAATTTAGTATTAATATTAATATTTTATTTAATATTAATATTTAATATTTTTGTAAACAATAAACTTATCTTTGTTCAATTGTCTCTTGTATGACTGTTGTATTTTTATTTACCTTTTATAAAATTATTATAAAATAAAACCTTTTATAAAATTATTAAAGAATGCATTAATAAATTCATAATGTCAAATTATATCCAATTTGAATTATTTTTAATTCTTTCTATAGATTGCCATATTCCTATTTAATATATTAAACTGAAATCACATGTACATTTAATCCATATATAACAATATATGTATAATTATAGGTAACAGCAAATATACCAATAAATAGATCTTTTTTCGTAATTATTTCAATGTCCATAAATCAAGGTGCTTTAAAAAAGATATCTCCGAAATTATCGGTTGTATAACATTCAATAAAAAATCATTTTGTATAATTAAATACTCTTTCGATTTTGTCATATGTGTTTTGTACGTAGGTACAACTAAATTTGAGATATTTGCGAAAACAAATTAAATTTACATAACGTTCGAAATAATCCTTTCAAAAATCTATCTCGGGAACAATTAATCGTATAATATTCATTAAAAAATATTCATTAAAAAATGAAATTGTGGGGAATTTTATCTACTTTATTTTCGAACTGAACATTAATTTCCGTACAACGAATAGTTTCTAAGATATTTGCAAAAAACCAATTTTGCAACATTTTTTCAAGATGACGCAGCCGACCATGCCCTCACACATGAGGAGTTTTAATATGTTAAAAAGGACACTATTACAGATTTCTATGCACAAATTCAACTTTGTGGCAATTTTTTATATTATTAAAAATCATCTAGTTTTCCTAGGCTATTTGTAAATGTAAATGAAATACAAGTTCTCAAAGTGAATTTATCTTATGTTCCTTTAGTTGTAGCCTAACATTCAATTTTTCACTTATAAAATCAAGATAAATATGAAATAAAAATCTAGATCAAATCTATCATCTGAGATCTGTTATGAGAATTCATTTGCTTCCATATGAAACAATGTGTCATTTTGATATTTTATATATATATATATATATATATTTCACTATTGCTTATAGATAGATATTTGATTGTATTCTGAGAAGATAACAAATTTCTAAACTGTAGTATTGAGAGTATATTGAGAAGTATTTTAAGTGAATTTAGCAAATATTTAATATATAGGTAATGCAAGAGAAAATGGAGTTAATACAGGTTATATGTTATTTCTTTTTACAGATGTGCTGTACTTATGTTCCAAAGAGAATTTGCAGAACGCTTGGTAGCTAAACCTGGTGATAAATTATATTGTCGCTTAAGTATTAACACACAATTATTGGCACGAATAGATATGTTGATGAAAGTTGGAAAGAATAACTTTAGACCTCCACCTAAAGTAGAATCGAATGTAGTGAGAATTGAACCAAGAAATCCACCACCTCCGCTTAATTATCAGGAATGGGATGGTCTGACACGGATTGCTTTCGTGAGAAAAAATAAAACGCTGTCTGCAGCTTTCAAACAAACCACAGTTGTTACTATGTTAGAGAAAAATTATAAAATTCATTGTAGTTTGAATAATAAGGTAATTGACACGTTATGTGATACTAAGTCTGGAAATATTGACCAAATGCTTTCTTTATATTAGAATATTTCTTATATAATACTTTATATTGATTAGCATATATTTATAGATTGTATCAGATAATTTTGATATCAAGCAATTGATAGACCATATATTAGAAAAAGCAGATGCTAAGAATAAACGAGCTAGAACTATGGACACAGATGATTTTATCAGGTATAAACAAGTTGATATTAATATAGTACAGTTAATATATACAGTTTGTAATATACAAGTGTATATCAATTTTAGTAAATGCGCTTGTTCAACATTTAAATCTAAAGTTTATTGCTAGCATTAATTCTCTTTATATATATTTGTATATAGACGCACGCACATACACGCACGCACAATATAAACGTAACATTTAGTTTATATATGTTTAGTTATACTTTATGATCGTTTATAGGCACTTTATAAACGCTAAAACATTAAAATTAATGGAAATGTATCCTTTTTCAGCCTGTTACATGCATTCAACGCGGATGGTGTGCATTTTATATAAATTTATATATTAGGATATATACTATTTATATATAAACTAGAGATTTTTATAAATAAAAGATTTTTATGAATATATAAAATAAATAAGCTTTGTGAAGAAAATAAATTGTTCTATTTTTAAGAAACATTTGTTTTAAAATTAGAATTTCCTCATTATTATTCTTACAGAGGCAATTCTTACATAATGTTTTACAGAAATAAAACAAAAAATGACGTGCACATGAAAACTATTTATTCATGTTGCTTAGATTATTAGCTATAAACACAGACTTATATAAGTCTGTGGCTATAAAGTACATCGCAGCACATCTTAAAACTATAATGTATATCAGTAAACATACTTGAAGCATTTTGTTTATTGTAACATGAAAAATATAAAAAGTCCGAAGAATCTATATTCTATAACATTTTTTTGCTTTGGAGTTTTAGATTCATCCCACAAAATATTGATATATAATTAAAAATTATATTTCTCTCTGAATGACAGGGAAAAACATATATAATATTATACTTAGTATTATTTTATGTTTTTTTTTATGGTTTTTCACAGATATAATCCTTTTACTATTTATGATCTATTTTTTTATGTTCTTCCTCTTACGAAAGGTAAGGCTTCTTATAGGCTTCTGGCCTGTGTTACACCTGTCTCGCTTATGGTGCGCAAACTGATTATTCAACTGCCACAAGCATATGGGATCTAATTTTAATGCTGATTCCGAATGATGGATTTTTCGAGATGTTTTTGTAGACAAGATTGTAGTAAAGATACTTTCAGGAAGTTGCCTCTTCCGAGAAGAGACAAGAGCATAAATATTTTGGTTTCTATCAGGATCGAACCCGGGATCTCATAGATGATAGATCAGTGTCATGCTCTTCTATTTTCTATGATATACTTAATTGATATACTTAATTATTAACCAGTTTATATATTATAACAATCTGTATATGTAAATGTTTGTATAATACAAATTTACAATAATCTTTACGCACATTGATATTTTTATTTTATTGTAATTTCACATTTTTTTATCTTTTCAGTTATATCTCTATTACAAAACAAGATTTGTGTGTTTTTAAACATCATATTTTAGCTCATTCATTTAAAAACGATATTTTGATAATGAAATATTTTATCATTATGCAAAATGTAATGATTATTACATTTATACAAGATACTCATGCATAGCTCCAATTTATGTATAAAATAATCTTTATAATTTTTTTATGCACATATATAAAAAAAAATATTTTTAACATATAATATTTCTAGTTTTATTGATGTAAATTTCATCCCCCATTATATATATTTTACACACACACACACACACACACACACACACACACACACACACACACACACACACACACACATAAAATATATATAAGATGCAAATCTTAATTAAAATAATTTACTAAGTATACATATTTACAATCTTTGGGAGATTCCTCCATCATATAGATTCTTCATTCATATCATTATAATATATCAAAATGCACAAATTGTTTTTTGATCAATGTAATTATAATGATATACACACAATACACATATATATGCACAATATACAAATATATATTCTGCATATATATATCGCTGTGCGCAATGTTATATTCCCATGGAGAGGTAGCATGACATATAGTACTATTAATATATAGCAACAATTTTTTGTATTAGCGATGCTAAAACAGTATTTTTTGTTGAAATTTGCAATGTGCAAATACAAATTTATTTTTATATATACATATTTTATCATAAAGAATAGAGAACAAGACATTATTTTGCCTT